CACCCTGCGCAGTACCCCGTGGAATCCAACCCACCGGATCGCTGCGGGACGTTCGTTCTGATGCCGTGGTCCCTTACAGTGCAAACGTAGAATGAGTCTCCGGCACGCGTCTTCTCGGGTTTCGGCTCGGCGACGCCGGCCCAGCCTTGAGTGACCTGCTTGCTCTGGTTGAAGTCAGCGTGGAGCGGACTGCGCCCGATGACATGTGCGTGCGGTTTCCCGGCGCTGATCTGGCGGTATAAGAAGAACGCGGCCGACGATGAGCAGGATCGGCACCAACTCAGCAGCGTGCATGACGCATGAGGTTCGGCTGGCGTCACCGGCCTCCACTTGATTCCGTCTGTTTCCAGCAGGGGTAGAGACCAGGCCCTCCATTTCGGGCGCGAAGGTAGAACGCCTTGCCGTCGCGCCGGTCCCGTTGATCCTCAGCTCCCGGCGCCGGTGCCGGCTGATCCGAACATCCGGCGCGCTTGTCCTCCCCTCCCCTGTCATTAACGGGTGAAGGGAGTCTTTCTCCCTGCTCGTATATACGGCTCGAACGTTCCAGAACGGATAGAACGAGCGAGGGCCGCAGCCAGAACATCAGTTCTTCATCGTCGCGAACTCATCCGATCTCATCGCCCCGGGATAAACAACTTTGGGAAACCATCACGTAGCGCCGCGACGGTCGAGGCGCAGTTTCCTCTCCCGGTGGGGCCCATTCCTCCCTGTGAGTCCCGGCTGACAAGGCGCGCTAGGGATGAGCCTCCCACCGGAGAACTGGCCCTGGTTTAATTTCGACCGAAGCAGCGCAACGCGGAGGAACCCCGCGAGGGGCGGTTCAGCCGGGATGCATCGCCCGTCGAGCCCGCCACTCGGGTGAACTGTGCCGCGTGGTTTTTGGCCACGGGCGTGTGTTGTTCCGGCTGTCATACGCGGAAGAATCCGTGCAAATTATGGTTGGCTCCTGTCCCGGACCGTGTTACCCCGGGCTCCAGACGCGGATCGCGATCCGCGGTCACGTCCTGTCAATCGGAGTCTTGGCTCAGCTGCATCGGGGCCACTACGCGCTCGTGTTTCGGCAAGGGGAAACGTGTCAACACCCGGTGTTTCAAACGCTAACCGGAAACCACCCCCGGCAGATCATGCGAGGATTCATCCGCGCCGCGCGCGGACCAGGCGCAGCACCGATCGTGGGAGTGTCGTGCTGGAGTGTTGCTGAAGTGTGATAGAAACATTGTCAAAAGCGCCGATGCAGCGACGCAGGTTCCCCCGGGCGATCCGGAGTCCTTCGCGAACGAGGCGGCGCGCCAGCGCCGGATGGGCTGCCGCAAGTTCGGCGACCCCAAAGCGCACCTCGGCGGATCTCCCACGCCTCACGACGTCGGCGACGTCGGTGAAACGGCGGGAGGTGATTTCGCTCAGCCATTCTTCGTCGTCCCTGAGGAGCGAGGCCGTCCGGCCCAGCGCCGCTTCCACTTGTGGGTTCACCGAGTCCTTGAGGAGTGGGAGGACCTGGTGCCGGATTCGGTTCCTCGCGAATTCGTCAAGCTCGTTCGATGGATCGGCATAGAACGGCCAACCCTCCTCCTCGACGACCTGGACGAGGATCGTCCGGGAGACCGAAAGCAGCGGCCGGACGATCGCGATGCCTCTTTTGTCCCCGCGGATGGGCGCCATGGCGCCGAGTCCCAGAGTCCCGGCGCCCCGCACCAGTTGCAGCAATACGGTTTCGGCCTGGTCGGTAAGCGTGTGCCCGAGGAGGACCGCGCCTGCGTCCCGTTCCCGGGCGATTTCAGCGAAGAAGTCAAGCCTTTCGAGCCTGCCGGCTTCTTCGACAGAGCGGCCCTCCCGTTTCGCGCGGGCGCCGACATCCCGCCGGGCGCCTGAAGAAGTCCATCCCGAGCGAGGCCGCCACGGTTCTCGCGAACTCGGCCTGTTCCGCTGAATCCGGCCGCAGCAGGTGGTCGAGGTGTGCGACAACAAGCTGCGGCCCGCCGGTTCTACCGCAGAGGCCGCCCGGCGCCCCGAGCAGATGGAGGAGTGCCGTTGAGTCCACACCTCCGGAAAACCCGACGAGGACGGACCGGTTCCCGGCGTCGTCCGGAAACCAATCCAGAGCGGCCTTGAGCGCATCCCGGAGGGACCGCAGAACACGGTCCCGCGAACCTCGCGCCCCCGAAGGGGACTTCCCGGCGACCCCGGGATCAGGATTCGCCGGAGCCTCCATCCCTTTTCTCTGTTGGCGCCTGCGGCTCTGGAGGAAGCGGTTCGATACGCAGGCGGGTAATCCGGTGGCGCTCCACGGCCATTACCCTGAGTGCGGCCCCGGGGATCGGGACGGTCTCGCCCTCCTTCGGAATCCGGCCGGTGTGTGCGAGAACGAATCCCGCCACTGTGTCGTAGTCGTCCCCCTGCGGGATCTCGATCCTTTCGTGCAAGCCTTCCGGACGAGTTCCATGACCAACTCCATGACCACCTCCATGCTGGGCGAGCTCGGCGTTCGCCTCGGAAACGCTCAGGGTGCCGTCGAACACGAAGCTGCCTCCCGGGCCCGGCGCGCTCTCTCCGGGCCACGGGCCACGGATGGCTTCAAGGAGTGAGCTCGAAGTAACCAGCCCCTCGACGCCCCCATGTTCATCCACCACGATCAGCATGCGGCAGGATTGTTCGCGCATCTGGACGAGCGCCTGGGCGAGGGTGGCGGTTCCGGGAGAGAAGCGGGCCGCCGTCAGGTGATTCTCCACCCGGAAGTCAGCCCCGGCGTCGAGAGCCGGGAGAACTTCACGAAGATCCATGACGCCCCGGATATCGTCGAGGGTGCTCCCTACTACCGGAAGCCGGGTGTGCCCATGCTGGCGAAAGAGCCGCATGGTGTCCGAAACGCCCGCATCGGAAGAGACTGCCACGATGGCCCGCCTGGGTGTCATGACTTCGGTGAGCCGTCGTCCGGTGGCGTCGGCAAGTTGCACCAAAACCTGCTTTTCGACGACGTTGGTGTCCGGGGGCCCGAAACGAAGGCTCTCTCGCATCTCGGCGGCGCTGATGGTTTCTTCCCGCGCCGGCCGCGAGATACCGAAGGCCCCCAGGAGCTTCGTGACCAGCCAGGACAGCGCGGCAGCAATGGGGCCGAGAAGCCATAGCAGCCCCTGCACCGGGCGAACCATGCTCAGCGACCACCTCTCGGAGTGGCGGGAGGCGATGCTCTTCGGCAACATCTCGCCGAAAACGAGGAGTGCGGCTCCGACGAGGAGTGTCGCGAGGGTTGCCGCGCGAGCCCGCTCTTCGTTCGTTTCGGCTCCCGCGGAAAGAACCACCGTGGCCAGCACTCCTGCGAGCACGTTGGCGAAGACGTTGCCCGTCAGAACCGCTCCCAAGAACCGCTCTGGATGCTCGGCAACCCGAATCACGGCGGCGGCCTTCCGGTTTCGCACTGCCATGACGCGCAGTCGGTGCAACCGCACCGCCATGAAGGCGGTTTCCGATCCCGAGAAGAAGGCCGAAAGGATCAGTACTCCGAGGAGCGCCGCCGCGAGGGCCCAGGTCACGAGCGGCTAGCAGCCTGTGGTGAAACCCACGTGAGCGCCGAGGCCGGCGAGGCCCAGTTCTCCCGGTGGGGGTCCGGCTGACAAGGCGCGTGAGGGAGGAGCCCCCACCGGGAGAACTGGCCCGGGTGTATTTCGACCGAAACGCAACGATGAGCGGCGCGCAGCGACGCGATTCAGCCGGGATGGATCGCCGGCCGAGCCCCCACCGGGAGAACTGGGCCGCGTGGGTTTTGCCACAGGCTGCTAGATCCTGGGATCCTCGCAGGCCAGGCTACTCAAGTGGGAGTCCCGGCCGTCTCTCCCGGCCGCAAGACCCGGTACCTGGTGTCCCGTTGAACCGGAGTAAAACCGGCCTCCCTGATCAGAACCTGCACCTCGTCGATGCTCGTCCGATTGATGAAACCAGTGCACGCGTGGACGTTTTCTTCGAGCAGGGTGCCCCCGAAGTCGTCGGCGCCCCAGTGAAGGCCGACCTGGCCGGCTTTTTTGCCCTCGCTGAACCAGGATGCCTGGATGTGATCGAAGTTGTCCAGCACGAGGCGTGCGACCCCGAGGATCCGGAGGTAGTCGTTCGGTCCCGCGTAGTGGGGAATCTTCCGGACCAGGGGAGTATTTCCGGGTTTGAAGCTCCAGGGCACGAACGCCGTGAATCCATGGAACTCATCCTGCAACTCGCGGATGCTCAACAGGTGCGTGACGATGTCCTCGTTTGTCTCTACGTGGCCGTACATCATGGTTGCAGTGCTCACAAACCCGACGGCGTGAGCCTCCCGATGGATGTCGAGCCAGGAGCCGGCTCCTCCCTTCTTGTGCGACACCTTCCGCCGCACCCGGTCGCTCAGAATCTCGGCGCCACCTCCCGGCAGCGTGTCCTGGCCCGCCTCCTTGAGCCGGGTCAGAACTTCACGAGTGCTGAGGCCGCTGACTTTCGCCATGCCTTCGATCTCAACAGCCGACCAGTAGTGCGGCGTCACGTCCGGAAACCGATCTCGCGTTCCGCGGACGAGATCCAGGTAGTAGTCGAGCGGCAAGGACTCGTTCACCCCACCCTGGAGGAGCACCGTCGTGGCTCCCTGTTCGACGGACTTGCCGATTCGATCCAGCATCTCCTCGACGGAGTACGTATATGCCTCCGCATGCCCTGGGGGTCGGTAGAAGGCGCAGAACGTGCAATCCACCTCACAGACATTCGTGTAGTTGGGATTCGTATCCACCACGAAGGTGACTTCCCGCTCAGGGTGCCGGCGAAAGCGGTCGTGATTCGCAAGTTCTCCGAGAAAGAGAAGAGGAGCCTCGTCCATCAACCAAATCGCGTCGGTTTCGGAGAGACGCTCGCGGCATTCCGTCTTGCGCCGCATCCGGTCCATCGCACTGTTCAACATGATGCGCCGTTTGTCTCCTTAAAAGCCTGTGGACAAGGTGAGGTGAGCGCCGAGAGCGTCACTTTGTCCACTGGCTGCTTATGCCTCCGCAGAGGGAATCAGATTGCTTTCGCTTACAAGTCGCCGGAAGGTTTCGAAACCTCGACGTTCCGATTCACCAAACCGGTAGGTGAAATCGGAGAGATACCGGGCGATGGCCGCCCGATCACCCAGCGGCCCCGCCGCCTCGACGGCAATCTCCGGGATCCTCTCGATGCCACGCCCGAGGGATTTGGCGATCGTTTCGTAGAGCTGCGACCGTTTGGCCGAAGTCAATGACTTTCTGGCGCTCCAGATCGCGAACACGAAGGGAAGTCCGGTCCATTCCTGCCAGCAGGAAGCAAGGTCGAAACGGAAGGAGAATCTTGGGTCGGGCCGTTCCCGCTCCCGAAGGGCCTCGTCACCGATCAGAAGCAGGGCGTCGTGCTCCCGAGTTACCCCCGCGCGGTACTCGGGTAGCTCGATGGAAAGTCGCCCCTCCAACCAGAGGCGGAGAAGCAATACCGAAGTCGAAGTCTCTTTTGTGATTTCGACGACCTTTCCCCCGAGCTGCTCCGGCGGACACCGGGAGAGCAGGAACACGCTTCCCGCCTGCTTGCGGCAAGCGATCCCGAAGGCGCCCCGCGCGTCCCCGAGTGGCGAATACCGCTTTTCATTGCGGAGCAGATCCCCTACCGAAAGGAGTCCGGCGTCGAGCTCGGAGGCTGTCGCCAGGCGCCCGATCTCCGACGGAGAGGCCCGGAAGACACGAAGGCCCGGAAAGGGCTCAAAGGGCTGGGTGTTCAGGTAGGCGAGTTGCCCGAGCAGCAGGCGCACTACGGAGCGGATGGCGGGGGGCTTTGTCCGAACCGGCCCGCGGTCGGATACCGCGTGGTTCCGGGTTGGTATCCAGCGCCAAAGTGCGGCGTGGGCTGGCGGGACACGGTGGATCGGATTGCCACCGCTGTCAGGCAGCCTCCCAGACTTGCACCACGTTGTACAGGGCGTCGCGCTCCACGGGAGTCTTCCCGGCGTCTCGAATCATCCGGACCAATCGTTCACGGGCCAGGCCAACGGGACTCGTCGCCTGCGCGAAGTGGGCGATCTTTTCTTCGCCGATCGTCCCATCGAGGTCACTCGCTCCGAAGTTCAGCGCCATTCCCGCCGAGTCCTCACCCAGCATCACCCAGTAGGCCTTGATGTGGGGGAAGTTGTCGAGGAGCAGGCGGGAGCAAGCGACGGTTCGGAGATCCTCGAGTACCGACGCCTGACGCTCGGCGAGCCCCGTGTTCCCCGGTTGGAGCGCGAGCGGGATAAACGATTGAAAACCGACATCGGACGGGCCGCGGTCGTCCTGTGCTTCCCGGAGCTGGATCATGTGATCCACGCGCTCCCCGAGCGTCTCGATGTGCCCGTACAGCAGGGTCGCGTTCGTCATGATCCCCAAACGATGAGCGGCCCGGTGGACTTCGAACCACTTTCCCCGACCGATCTTGGTCTTGAACGTTTCCTTGCGGACACGGTCTGAGAACACCTCGGCCCCCCCACCGGGAAGGGTGTTGAGGCCCGCCTCCTGAAGCCGGATCAGGATGTCCTCGATGGTGGTTTTCTCCAGTCGGGCAAACCAGTCGATTTCGACGGCTGTCCACGCCTTGATCTGAACTCTCGGAAATTGACGGTGAATCTCGCTAACGATCTCGAGATACCGGGCGAAGGGCCACTTGGGGTGCAGGCCGCCGACGATATGAACCTCCGAGAGCTCCTCGGACACTTGGGCGAGGACTTCCTCGAGGGACTGCTCGTAGGCGTGCGCATCGCCCGGTTTCGCGGCGAAATCACAGAAGACGCAGGACAGCACGCACAGGTTGGTCGGGTTGATCTGCCGGTTCACGACAAACTGGACCCGGTCGCCATTGCGCGCTCTGGCGGCATGGTCGGCCATCCGCGCCAGCGCCGGCAAATCAACGGTCTGGAGCAGTGTGATCCCGTCGTCGAAGGCGAGGCGATCGCCGGCGAGCACCTTCTCCCAGATGGGGACCAGGGCTCGGTCGCGAAACGCGACGCCTTCGGCAAGCAACACAGGAGATCTCCAAAGCGAAACGCTCGGGAAAGAGGCCGGGTGCACTGGGCATCCCGGACTCAAACGGGCCTTGATGGCGGGCCGAAAATCGTAGCATGGAGGTCGAGCGGTCCGGGAGCGGGGGGAGAGAGGTCGAGCGTTCCGGGAGCGGGGGCACATTGCCTGGACCGGTTCGGGTGGTCGAGTGGGACCGAGTTGAGCCCCCGCTCCCGAACCGCCCGGCGCTCCGCGCCCAGGGGTCGAGCGTTCCGGGAGCGGGGGCACATCGCTGAATCAGTTCGGGTCGTCGGGTGGGAATGAGTTGAGCCCCCGCTCCCGAACCGCCCGGCGCTCCGCGCCGGAATCGAAACTCCCTCGCGCGCCGGCGCGCGCTTCGGCGAGTTCCGATTCAAGGTTGCCTTTTTTGTGAAAGGGGGGATGTCCCCCTTTCACACTTTCCCCCCGGACACGCAGGTGGCGAACCTCCGGTTCGCCGCCATTTCTTTGGCCCGGTCAGCTATGCGTTGCTACACGTTTTCGCGACACAAAGGTCAGCGAACGCCGACCGCTGGTCGGCACCGCGGCGCGCAGGGCCGCGGGCGGTTCATTGCCGTCCGCCTTCACGGGGCGCAGGCACGGGGCCCGCTGCGCTGCGAACGGTGTCTGCCACTCCAGTGCACGGATCACGCCGAACGCCGGGATTCCCGCCGAGAAGGGGTCACCTCGGAACTGGCAGCCGGTGGTGGAACCCGGGTGAGCGCCGAGAGCGGCCAGTTCTCCCGGTGGGGGCGAGGCGCCCGCCTGACAAGGCGCGTGAGGGAGGAGCCCCCACCGGGAGAACTGGGCCGCGTGGGTTTCACCACAGGCTGCTAGGGGTCCTTCCCGCCGCCCGCCTTCGGCGGGCTGTGCCGGCCCCCACCGGGAGAACTGGCCAGAGGTCGGCGTTCCCGTGCGGCCGTCACCACCTGGCACCTTCAGCGTTCCGCGTCTGCGCTTTTCATCACGGGCGGGGGTGTGCAGGAGGACCCCATCATGAGGGTCTCTCCCGGTGGGGCCCGGCACAGCTCGCCGGAGGGGGGCGGCACGCGTACCGCCGACCGGGAGGAAGTGGGGCCCGGCTTTCCGACTTTGCCCCGGTGCGGCCTAGCGGGTTTCCTCTTCTCGCCATCCGGGGGCGTCGCCGAGCCCGAGCACGCCCAGCACCTTGTCGCAAAAGCCGTCCACGACCTCAGACATCGTGCCTGGATTTCGATACCAGGGCGGGGCCACCGGCATCACGATTCCCCCCGCTTCAGAGATCGCGAGCGCGTTGCGCAACGTGATGGTGGACCAAGGGGTTTCGCGCACGCAGAGCACAAGGCGCATGCGTTCCTTGAGGGCGACCTGAGCCGCACGAGTAATCAGGGTGTCGGCGATGCCGTTTGCCACTTTGCCGAGCGTCGAGAGGCTGCATGGGATGAGAACCAGCGCGTCGTAGCGGTTGGAACCCGACGACCACGGCGCCGCGAGATCGGAGTCCCGATGGACACGTCGCACATCTCCTTTCAGGTCGTTCAATGTGAGGCCCATTTCGAGCCGCAGTACCTCCTCACCCCATTGGGAGACGATCAGGTGTTTTTCCCCGGGGCAGCGCTTCAGGAAGCGAACGCCGTACACGGCCCCCGAGGAGCCCGAGATTCCTACGACAATTCTCATGATCCGGCAATGGGAGTACGAGAGAGCAGTACGCCCAGAAAGACGACGCCCCCAAGAATCGAGTTCGCCTGAAAGAACGCGAAATTCACATGGTGCCGGAGCCGATGCTGCACGACGAAGAGAATCCCGGCGAGGACAAAGAACATACCTGACAAGACGCCGTAAAGCGACGTGGAGAAGAGAATGATGAGGGTGCAGAAGGCAAAGCCGTGCAACCCGGCGGCAACCCGCAGGGCGCGGCGACGTCCGATAGCCGCCGGCAGGGAGAAGACGCCGGTCTTCCGGTCAGAGTCTTCGTCCAGAGTCGCGTACAGAATGTCAAAACCGGCAGACCAGAATGCGGTAAAGGCGGCCAACGTCAGGATCGGAAAGAGGCCCCGCCATTCGAGGGCCACGGCGTAAAAGCCGCAGAGCGGGCCCAGCGCGAGCGTGAGGCCGAGACCAAGATGCGCCCACCTGGTGAAACGCTTCAGGAGTGGATAACCGAAGAAAGCCAACAGCGGAACGGGGCTGATCAGGAGACAGCGCGGGGAAATGGCCCATGCGGCCGCGAGGGACACGGCAAACGAGAGCGTGGCGACCAGCACCGCGCCCCCGAGCGTGATCTTTCCGGTCGGCAGCGCTCGTGTCGCGGTACGCGGATTCTGCGCATCAAGGTGGCGATCCAGAATTCGATTGAGCCCCATCGCCGTTGTGCGAGCCCCGGTGGCGGCTATCAGAATCAACACCGCGGTACGAAGAGTCAGCGGGGGTTCAGCCAACAGTGCGCCAGCGTAAATGAGGGGTACCGAAAACAGCGTATGTTCGATCTTGAGATAGTCGGCCCATACCCTGATGCGGTTCACGATGGCATCTCGCAGGTTATCCGGAGCGCTCGACACGAGTTTGTTCCTGATACCGGCTGCCTGACACTGGCTGAGAGATGAGCGAAGTGGTCAGAAAGCCTAACAGCCGGTGGTGGAACCCGGGTGAGCGCCGAGGCCGGCCAGTTCTCCCGGTGGGGGCGAGGCGCCCGGCTGACAAGGCGCGTGAGGGAGGAATACCGGGTGTATTTCGACCGGAACGCAACGATGAGCGGCGCGTAGCGACGCGCTCAGCCGGGATGGATCGCCGGCCGAACGCCGCGTGGGTTTCATCACCGGCTGTTTGGCCGGGACGGATCGCCGGCCGAGCCCCCACCGGGAGAACTGGGCCGCGCGGGTTTCACTACCGGCTGTTTGGCCGGGATGGATCGCCGGCCGAGCCCCCACCGGGAGAACTGGGCCGCCTGGATTTCGCCACCGGCTGTTAACAGCCGGTGGACAAAGTGGCGTGAGCGCCCGGGGCCCCACCGGGAGAACGGGGCCGTGTGAATTCGTCCATAGGCTGCCAGCAGATGATTCGTTCCGTCTCTTGATGCTGCGTTCGGACCTCTACAACGTCTGTCGGTAAGGTTGACCGAGATTCTGAGGTAGTGCTACGCTGCGTTTGCGGGATGCACAACGGCGGCGTCTTGCCGCCTTGTTTCCATCCGTTGGTATTCTCGCGAAAGGTGAATAGACCCGTAATGAAGAAAAAGACCAGGCGGTCAGCAAAGAAAGCTACACGCAAGAAAGCGGCGGTGCGTGTGACGTCGCGCAGCAAAGTCACGCGTAAGAAGGTCGCTCGTAAGAAGGTCGCTCGTAAGAAGACTGCCGCGCGCGGGAGTGCCGCACGGCTGTCGGTAGTGAGGAAGGCGACACGCAAGAAAGCAACCCGGAAACGACTGACTCGCAAGGTAACAGCGCGCAAGAAAGCGACACGCAAGAAGGTGACCCGTAAGGCGGCGACCCGGAAGAAGGTGACGCGCAAGAAGGTCGGCCGGAAGAAGACGACCCGGAAGAAGACGACCCGTAGGGTGGCGACCCGGAAGAAGGTGACGCGCAAGAAGGTCGGCCGGAAGAAGACAGCCCGGAAGAAGACGACCCGGAAGAAGACGACCCGTAGGGTGGCGACCCGGAAGAAGGTGACGCGCAAGAAGGTCGGCCGGAAGAAGACAACCCGTAAGGCGGCGACCCGGAAGAAGGTGACGCGCAAGAAGGTCGGCCGGAAGAAGACAACCCGGAAGAAGACGACCCGGAAGAAGACGACCCGTAAGGCGACGACGCGGAAGAAGGCGACGCGCAAGAAGGCCGCCCGGAAGAAGACGACCCGGAAGAAGACGACCCGTAAGGCGGCGACGCGGAAGAAGGTGACGCGCAAGAAGGCCGCCCGGAAGAAGACGACCCGGAAGAAGGTGGGGCGCAAGAAGGTCGCCCGGAAGAAGACGACCCGGAAGAAGACGACCCGTAAGGCGGCGACCCGGAAGAAGACGACCCGTAAGGCGGCGACCCGGAAGAAGGTGACGCGCAAGAAGGTCGGCCCGGAAGAAGACGACCCGGAAGAAGACGACCCGAAGAAGACGACCCGTAAGGTGGCGACCCGGAAGAAGGTGACGCGCAAGAAGGTCGCCCGTAAGGCGGCGACCCGGAAGAAGACGACCCGTAAGGCGGCGACCCGGAAGAAGGTGACGCGCAAGAAGGTCGCCCGGAAGAAGACGACCCGGAAGAAGACGACCCGTAAGGTGGCGACTCGTAAAAAGGTGACGCGCAAGAAGGTCGCCCGGAAGAAGACGACCCGGAAGAAGACAACCCGTAAGGTGGCCACCCGGAAAAAGGCGACCCGTAAGGTGGCGACCCGTAAGGTGGCCACTCGGAAAAAGGCGACGCGAAAGAAGGCGACCAGATCGGCGGAAGCGCCTTCTCAGCCTCCGCGGAAGCGCCTTCTCAGCCTCCGGCGGAAGCGCCTTCTCAGCCTCCCGGCGGAAGCGCCTTCTCAGCCTCCGGCGGAAGCGTCTTCTCAGCCTCCCGCGGAAGCGTCTTCTCCGCCTCCGGCGGAAGCGCCGTCCGCCGAACCCGAGGCGCCTGTTTTGCCATAGCGGACCTTTCCATCCACGGGCAGCGGCACGCCCCGCGGCAGTCGGTCCCCCTGACAGCCGCTGGAAGCCGCCGGGTCGGAGTCAGGGTTCCAGGGAACCAAACGAAGAACCGCCGGCCGAACACCGCGCCTTCTTGCGGGCACGCCTGCCCGTGGCCTTCTTCCGAAGCGGGTTTCCCTCCGGAGGCTCTTCCGGCTGCCCGCTTCGGTCAGGGTGCGGGGAGTCGTGCTACGCCCAATTGCGCGGGGCGCCGCCGGATTCTCCGCCTTCCCGGGATCGTTGCGACCCCGGTCGATATGTTAAATTCCTCGGTTCGCCTTACGCGATTCCCATAACTTCCACTGCTTTGGGGAGGAGACTTCCGTCGTGCGCTTCCATTGTCCGCCATCCGCAAAGGGCGCCAGCCGCTGGCGTCGCCGCTTCTTCGCCACTGGACTCTCCCTGGCCCTTTTCGCCGGTGCCTGCGGCGGGCCGGACATTGGTGTCACGGGGGAAGAGATCCGACTGGGCAGTTTTGCTCCCCTGACGGGTCCCTATGCGGCGCTTGGCAATGTCGGCCGCTCGATGGCTGCTTACTTTGAGTGGCTCAACGATCAGGGGGGCGTCCACGGCCGCATGGTCCGTTTGAGCCTCAAGGACGATCAGGGAGATCCGGAGAAGACTCCTGCCCTCGTTGATCAACTGCTGCGCGAGGAGCAGGTCTTCGCGATGGTGGGCGGGATGAGCAGCGCCAACAGCCTCGCGGTCAGGGACGCGGTGGGGTTGCGACTGGTGCCCTGGGTGAATCCCGGTTCCAGCGCGCGGGAATGGACGGAACCGCTCGACGCCTACATCTTTTCCATTCTTCCCACTTCCATTACCGCGGCGCAGGTCCTGGCGCGCTACGCGCTTTCCGAACTCGGCGTCGATCGGATTGGTTCGCTCGCCGAGGACACCCCCTTCGGGATTCAGGGGCAGGAGGGCTACCGGCTCGGCGTCCGGCGCTTTTACGAGCAGGTGGCAGCCGCTCTTCCGGAAGGCGTGGACGTTCGCTACGCGCGGATTTCCAGCCGTCCCCGGCGCCCGCGGACCGATGACCCCACCAGTGAGGGATGGCACGAGTACCCGACCGGAGGCGAGGGGGTTTTGTGGCGGGTCCAGCGGGTTGATGGCGGCAGTTGGGGCCGGCCCGAGGCTGCTCCCGAAGACGTCGGAATGCGGCGCAGCCCCAAGGACGGAGCCGACATCGAAGCGGTCCTTGCGGAGTTGAAGGAGAAACAGGCGGGCGCGATTCTCATTTGGGGAGTTGCTGAGTACGGAGCCGAGGTAGCGAAGGTGATCGCCGCTGATCCTGACTGGAATCCGATCCTGCTCGGTGGGTTTGCGATGGCGGATCCGCTGATGATCGATCTTGCCGGTGATGCCGTCGAAGGCATGATCGTGGCGTCAACAACTCCTGACCTTTCCGTTGACTCGGACGCCACCCGCTTGGTGAAAGAAATTCTCAGCGACTACGCGCCCGAAGTGCCGTTCGGGGACTACGCGATGCTGGGAATGGCCTGGGCTCAGCTCGCTGCCGAGGGGATGGAGCGTGCGGGACCCGATCTCAGGCGGATCAACCTAATCCGCGGGCTCGAAACCATCGACAACTGGCAGGGCCTGATGGGTCATCCCGTGACGTTCTCCGAGCAGAGTCACCTTGGTTTCGACGCCGTGACGCTGAAGCGCGTCGAGAACGGCGAGTTCGTCGCCGTCACCGGCTGGCTCTCGGAGTAGTCTCCGATAGCTGCTGCGGTCGGCCTGCCCGGCCGACCGACGGGGGTCCGACGGGGGCGGGGAGCCGGCCCCGCTCAGGCGCCGGGATTTCTGCTGTCTGCGGCTCTCCCGAGATAGGCGCGCCGCACCTCGGGATCGTCGAGGAGTTCCGCTCCGGTTCCCTGACGGACGATTTTCCCGCCTTCGAGCACGTAGCCGCGCTCCGCGATCTCGAGCGCTCGCATCACGTTCTGCTCTACGAGCAGCACCGCGACTCCCTCCTTGCGGATGGCCTGGATCGTGTCGAACACAGTGTCCACCACGCGGGGCGAGAGCCCCAGCGATGGTTCGTCCATGAGCAGCAGTGCCGGAGAGGCCATCAGCGCCCGCCCGATCGCGGCCATTTGGCGCTCTCCTCCGGAAAGAGTGCCTGCCAACTGACCCGCACGTTCGGCGAGCCGAGGCAAGAGCTCGAGAATGGCCTCCAACCGTCGGGCTGCCGAGCCCTTCCGCCGAACGGCGAAGGCGCCGAGCCTCAGATTCTCGAGCACCGTCATGTCGGGCCAGATACGGCTTCCTTCAGGCACGTGCGCAATGCCGGCCTCGACTACGCGGGCGGATCCGATGCCCACGATGGAACGTCCCTCGAAGCGGATCTCTCCCGCTTCGGGTTTGGAGAGGTCGCTGATCGCCCGCAGCGTGGTTGTCTTGCCGGCGCCGTTCGCTCCCAAAAGAGCCACCACCTCCCGCCGGCCCACCTCGAGGGTCACGCCGCGGAGCGCGGGTATGCCACCCCGGCGTACCTGCAGATCCCGAATCTCGAGAAGGCTCATCGACATTCTCGCCGCGGGGCGCGGATCCCGGCGGATGGGAAAAGCCGTGGAGGAGACGCCTGGCCGGCGGCTCTTCGGCGGACCGTCATGGTCTTCGACACGCTTCCTCAGGATCCGGCCGACCGGCCGAGATACGCCTCGATCACGGCGGGATTCCGCGTTACTTCTTCGGGGGTTCCGATCGCGATCGTGGCGCCGTGGTCGAGCACGTGAACACGATGGGAGATATCCAGTACCGCTTCCATTACATGTTCGACGTAGATGATGCCGATACCGCTCGCGTGGACCTCCCTCAAGATCCCCACGGTTTCGCGCACTTCGGTGGGATTGAGGCCCGCTGCCACCTCGTCGACCAGGAGAACCCGGGGTCTGGTCGCGAGGGCGCGCGCGAGGTCGAGTCGCTTTCGTTCGGCCAGGTTCAAGAAATGGACGGGCGCCTCGCGACGGGATCCGAGCCGGGTCAGGGAAAGGCATGCCTCCGCCGTGTCGGAAGGGGAAACTCCGGAGACGCGCCGGCCGAACTGCGCGCCGACCAGGACGCTTTCGAACACCGTCATTGCCAGGAAGGGGCGCGGGACCTGAAAGGTGCGCGCGAGCCCCAGCCGGCAGATCCGGTGGGACGGAAGGTGCTGGATTTCCCGGCCAAGCAAGCGAATCTGTCCGGCGTCGGGGGGAAATTGGCCGCTCAGCAGGTTGAAGAGAGTTGTCTTGCCCGCGCCATTCGGGCCGATGAGGCCCAGGATCTCGCCTTCCCGAAGGGTCAGATCGAGGCTGTGCACGGCCGTGAGGCCACCGAAGCGCTTCACGACTCCTCGCGCTTCGACCAGGGCGGATCCGGCGGCCGGATGGCTCATCCCATTCTCTTGCGTATCAGCGCCCCGAGTTGGGCGAGGCGCGGCGCGACCCCGCGAGGCTCCATCAGGACGATGAAAATCAGCAGCGCTCCGAACGCCGCGAGGTGTACGTCCGGGAGGCTCACCAGCACGAACTGCTCGAGGAAGAGGAAGATCGCCGCCCCCAGGACCGGTCCCATCACCGTGCCGATGCCCCCCACCAGCACCATGAGCACGAGGCTGATGGAGAGATCGAAGCCGAACACCTTCTCGGGAACCACGTAGAGGGTGAACAGGGCGTAGTAGCCGCCCCCGAGCCCGGTTAGCGCGGCGGCGATGGCGAAGACGGTGACCTGTTGCCGGGCAATGTCCACGCCGGAGGCAGCGGCCGCCCGCGCGTCCTCCCGGAGTGCGATCAATCCGAGGCCGAGGCGCGAACGCCGCACCGCGGAGCTCAGGAGCACCGCGGCCACCGCGAGGACAGCGCCCAGACCGTAAAGCAATACCGGTCCCAGGTCCTCCTCGAGTGGAAGCGTCAAGCCCGAGGCACCGCCAGCGACTTCGACCTGATTCACGACGATCCGTGTCGCCTCCGCTACGCCGATCGTGGCGATCGCGAAGTAGGGCCCGCGGAGTCGAAGGCAGGGCCATCCCCAGGCCACTCCGAACAGGGCTGCGAGCAGGGCGGCGGCGGGCAGGGTCAGGAAGGGATGAACACCGGCAAGCCACAGCATGGAGGTGGCGTAGGCGCCGACACCGAAGAGCGAGGAATTGCCGAACGAAATCTGTCCCGCGAACCCCCCCACCATGTTCCAGGCGCTCGCCAGCAGGATGTTGAGAAACAGAAGCTGAGCGAGTCGGGAGGCGTACGGGTTGGCGATCAGCAGCGGACCGACTGCCGCTACCGCGGCCACCGCGGCAGCGCCAAGCAGGAGGCGCCGGCGCTGGGAAGAAGGCTCCACGGCTAGCAACCCTTGGCGAACGCTGCCCATCGTGACTCCGCGGCGCGGAGCGCCGTGGGGGTGGGGTGCGGGGAAGGGTTTCCCCTCCCCCCGAAGAACGGTGGAGGGAATCGCGTAGCGATTCCCTCCACCATCCCGTGGAGAAGGCGCTCCGCATCGGAAAGACTTCTTGGCGTGCACGCGGATCGTGCGGTGGGCGCGATGCGGGGTGCCTTTTCCACGGGACGCCTAGTTGTCCGCGTCGGCGCGGCGCGCCACGAGAGCGGCGGTCAGCACCAGGAAGCTCACCACGTCCCGGTAGCCGGTGTGCAAATAGAAGGCGGTCAGGTCCTCGGCGATTCCGAGCCCGATGCCGGCGATGAGGATTCCGCCGATGTTGGTCAGTCCTCCCAGCACGACGACGCAAAAGCTCTTCAGGAGGAACCGGGCGCCAAATTCGGGAGTCACGGAGTAAAACAGCGACATCAGGCTCCCCGCGGACATCGCCAGTGCGGAGCCGATTCCGAAGGCGATCGCCCATACCCGGTTTACCGGCACTCCGGAGAGAGCGGCGGCCTCGCGATCCTGGGCGACGGCGCGCAGCGCCAGGCCCGCCCAGGTGCGTTTCAGCAAGAGGGCCAGGACCACGAAACCGAGCAACGAAAAGCCGGACACGATGAGCCGCGAGATGCTGATCGTCAGAGGCCCAACGGCCACCGACTCGAGGGAATAGGACGTCAGGAGCGCCCGGTCGGCTCCGCCAAATATCAGATACAGCAAGTTGCGGACGATCAGCCACACCCCAAACAGCAGGAGCAGCGTGGTGACCGGGGGGCTGTCCCGGAGGCGAAACACCAGCGTCCGCTCCACGGTGGCCCCCAGCACAAAGCCGAGGGGAACCGTGATCAGGATGGAAACGAGCGGATCGATTCCGAACGTGGTGTTGAGCCACCAGGTCACGTACACGCCGAGGGTCAGGAAGGCCCCGTGCGCGAGATTGACGACCCGCAGGACACCGTAGATGAGGCCGAGCCCGTACGCCATGTAGGCGTACACCGTGCCCACCAGAATCCCGGAGGCCAGGATCGAGAAGAGATCAACCACGGCCCGGCCCGCCTGACATTTCTAGCAGCCTGTCCGCGAGACTGAGGTCGCAGCCTCGCCCCATCGCAAATCAGCTCGGGGCGCCACGCGGAGCGACTACCCCGCGAACTCGGGGCAGAGACCAGCTGTTGAGGTTTTTCGCATGGGCTGCAGGACGGATCCCCGCCTCAACGTCCCAAGAAGGAGGGTCCCTCCGCCGCTTCGGGCGGGTAGATGATGCGGACTCCCCCGTCTGGCTGGTTCTGCACGATGACGCATTGGTTCTCGATCTGGTACCGGCTTTCCGCCGGGAAGTAGAGGCGCCCTCCGGGAAGGAGCGAGTCAGTGAGTTCGAGAGACTGGAGTGCGTCGCGAATTGCTTCGGGTTCCGTAGCCCCCGCGTTCCCGATGGCGGTAATAAGAGCCCTTGCCGCTTCGTAGGCGACCGCCGGGTAGTACTCGGTCACCGGTCCCCCGAACTGCGACTCGTACCGTTCGATGAAGCTGTGGGATCTCGCGTAGGGCAGCGCCCGGGTCCACCACTGCGCCGAAATGAGGTGGGAAAACGGCTTCGCCGAGACCCTCGCGAACCGAGCGCTCCGGGCCCCGGGCGCCGTAGCTCACCGCGATGTGCCCAAGTCCCTGCTCCACGTAGGCGCGATGTTGCAGGAGGAAATCCGGCTCGTGGGCGTCCGAAAGAAAGACATCGGCTGCGACCGAACGCACCTTGACGATCAGCGAGGTGTGATCGCTCGACAGGTGCTCGAACGATTCGTCGAGGACCAGCTCGAATCGGTCCGGATTCGTTTCGAGGGTCTGCAGAACACCCGTCCGGTACTCGCGGCCGTGGTCCGTGTTCTGCCACACCATCGCCACCCGCAGCGGCCGGCGCAGGCGATCGTTGTCCTGTTCCCACATCAGCCATTCGAGCGTCGTGTTGGCGAGCGACTCCACGGGACTGAGCGCGCCGAAAACCCATTGGTTGCCGTCGCGGAAAATCGATTTCGAGGCTCCGCCGGCATTCATGAATGGAATTCCGCGACGCATCGGCACGATGACCTGCGCCTGAACCAGCGGGGTCGAATAGCCCGAAAGGAGTGCGACGGCGCCGTCAACGGCGATCAGCCGTTCCAACAGGCTCGGGGAAATGGAGGCGTCGCTCTTGTCGTCGTAGACGCGCAACTCAATCGGGCGCCGAACGCCGTCGATTTCCACGCCGCCCTGAGCATTGGCCTCCTGGACGGCCAGTTGGTATCCGTCCCGGAAGAACCCGCCAACGTTTGCGTGTTTCCCACTCAGCGGGAGAGCGGTTCCGATCCGGATTGCGTTGCTGTCTCCACCCGAGCACGCCGGAAGGCCGACGAACAGCCCGAGAACGAGCGAGAGGAGCCAGCGGGTGCGGTGGTCAGTGGACATAGGGCTAAGCCGCAGTGGGCAACCCCAAATTCTACCAAGACCACACAGGGACGGAGCAGCAACTTGCCGGACTGTTCCGATCGGCGTTCCCGGCCGTGCAGGGCCATCTCACGTACTGCTGAACAACCGAAACTGATGGCGGCGAACCTTGTTCGCCACCTGCGTGATCGGGGGGAAAGTGTGAAAGGGGGGCGCACCGTTGGACAAGCCAACGACGAGTTAAGCCCTGACCCGGCGCCCCCCTTCCGGACCGCTCGATGTCCGGACGTGACTCTACAATCGCGGCCACCGTGTCCAGCCTTGGCGAACAACTCCCGGAAACCGGGATTCCGGTCATGGAAGTCCTGTCGGTCAGGGATATCCGCTTTCACGAAGAAGTCGATCTGGCCAGGGTCGCGGCCCTGATCGAACGCCTCAGCACCGACGGGGTCCTCCGGAATCCGCCGATCGTCGCTCGATTGCCCGGACGAGCCCGGCTGCTGCTGGACGGAGCGAATCGTATTGAGGCGCTGTCGCGCATGGGAATCCGGCACGCCTTGGTGCAGACGGAGGAATTCGGAGACCCCGCACTGGATCTATCGCACTGGAACCACGTGATCCGCGCCCGCGAGGCTGCCGCCATCGTCGAAGATCCCCCGGCCAACACCCGGATTCAGCTCCCGGCGCCCCGGCAGGAGACACCGGGCGGTGGCCCCATATGCCGTCTGGTGCTTCCGGGCGGTGACGAAACGGTGTTCCTGGCTCCGTCCGAGCCATCGAAACGCGCGGCGGCGCTCCGGGACCTTTGTGCCCGATACACCCACCCGCGCGCCAGGCTCGCGCGTATCCCCCACGGCGACCTCAATCAGGTGCGATCTGCGTATCCCGGTTTCGGGGGCCTGCTCGAGTACGCCGGGATCTCGAAGGAAGAGGTGCTCGCAATTGCCGAGGCGGGCGAACGGCTGCCGTCCGGGATTACGAGATTTCTGGTTCCCCGGCGCGTCCTGGGCTTCAACCTGCCGCTTTCGTTTCTTGAAATGAACCTCCCTCTCGACGAAAAGCGAAGGCGCCTCGAAGATCTCGTTGCCGGCCGCTTCGACTCCGGCCGCGTTCGCTACTACGCGGAACCGGCGTTCGTGTTCGACGACTAGTCGCCCGGGGGGAGGGGACACCTCCCCCGCGGCGCGGACGCCGGCGGAGTTTCGCCGCTCCCGGCCCGGCGGAACGAGGTGGGGCGCCGGGACGCCAGCTTCGGGGGTCCGGCGCCGGGATGGCCGAGACCTGCCGGACGGGGCCCTGCCGGACGGGGCCCTGCCGGACGAGACCTGCCGGACGGGGCCCTGCCGGATCGGCGCTCGCCGCCGGTTGGGTTACGATTTTCGGAGGCCTGCCCGGCGGCAGCGCTCGCCGGAGTCTCTCGGTGACGGACGTTCGGGAGCGAGGATCGGACCGGAAGGGGCCAATCGGAGAAACGGTCGTTGTCGGGACACAGCAAATGGCACTCGATTCGCCACAAGAAGGCGATCGTGGACGCGAAGCGCGGCAAGGCGTTCACCCGGCTACTCAAGGAGGTCACCATGGCCGCCCGTATCGGCGGTGGCGACCAGCAGTTCAATCCCCGGCTGCGGTTGGCCGTCGACAAGGCGAAGGCCGGAAATGTCCCCCGCGACAACATTGATCGTGCGATCAAGAAGGGCACCGGCGACCTCCCCGGTTTTCGGATCGAAGAAGCGAGCTATGAGGGCTATGCCGCCGGCGGAGTGGCGGTCTTCGTTCAAGTGGCGACTGACAACCGAAACCGCACGGTCAGCGACGTTCGCCACCTGTTCTCCAAGTACGGGGGGAACCTCGGAGAAACCGGATCGGTCAACTGGATGTTCGAAAAGGCCGGACAGTTCCTGGTGCCCAGGGATCAGGCTTCCGAAGACGATCTGATTGACATCGTCCTGTCGAGCGGCGGCAGCGACGTGCTCGAGGACGGCGAGCATTGGGACCTGCGCTGCCCTCCCGCGGCCTTCGCCGCCGTAAGGGACGCGCTGGGATCGAGCGGGGTCCGGTGTGACAGCGAAGAGATCGCAATGCTCGCCACCCAGCATGTACGGGTCGCCGGGGGTGAGGCTCAGCGAGTCCTCAGACTCATGGACGCGCTTGAGGATCACGAGGACGTGATTGGCGTCTGGGCGAACTTCGACATGGACGACGAAGAGCTGGACGTCGCGGCGTCCTGACGGCCGTTCCCCCTTGCATCCGTCGAAGGCCGCTGGCGAGCCCGGGAATCGGCTGAGATACGGCCTGAGATACGGCCTGAGATACGGCCTGAGATACGGGTAGTCGGGCTCGATCCCGGCTCGCGGATCACCGGCTGGGGAGCGGTGGAGGAGACGGAGGGCAGGCTCCAGGTCGTGGACTACGGGACCGTGCGGTGCTCACCCGATGCCCGCTCGTGCTGCGCCTCCAAACGCTCCATCGGGAAATCGGGGAAGTCATCAGGCGGCTTCATCCCGATGAAGTCGCCGTGGAGTCGGTCTTCAGCGCGGTGAGCGCCGGCGCGGCTCTCACCCTCGGACACGCCCGCGGCGCTGTCCTGGTGGCGGCGGCGGATCTGCCCGTCGCCGAATACAGCCCGCGCTCGGTAAAACAGGCGCTTACCGGGTACGGAGCGGCCGGAAAGGGTTCGGTGGCCGTCATGGTGGCCCGGCGACTCGGCATGGCCGACCCGCCGGCCTCGGAGGACGCGTCGGACGCGCTCGCCGTCGCCATCTGCCATCTGGACGCCCGGCGGGCCAAGGCCCGTCTGGCCCGTGCCACTCAGGGACGATCCGGGTGATCGAGCGCCTTGCCGGCAGGCTCCTGGCGACTGGCGAAGGCCACGTCGTGCTGGACGTCCACGGGATCGGTTTCAGGCTGCAGGTATCGACGGGTACCGCGTCGCGCCTTGGAGTTTTGGGAGACGAGATATCGCTCACCGTCCGGATGTTGCTGCATCGCGAGGAGACCGTTCAGCTCTACGGATTCCGGGAGACCGAAGAAGCGGCCCTCTTCGACCAGCTCCGGGGAGTCAGTGGGGTGGGCCCTTCCGTGGCCCTGAATCTCCTGTCGCTGTCCGTTCCGCGGCTGCGCCAGGCCATCCGGGACAAGGAAGTGAAGATGCTCCAGGCAGCTCCGGGAGTGGGCGCAAAGCTGGCGCGCCGCCTCATTACGGAACTTGCGGAGGCGCTGCCGGAGGAGGAAAGCCCGGCGGCGCCGGCGGTCGGGGCGCGGGATCCGGTGCACGAGGCGTTGGTCACCGCCTTCACCAACCTGCAGTTCACCGACCGGCGCCGCATCGATGAAGTCGTGCAATCCGTCCGGGCCGAAAAGCCCGACGCCGACCTGCAGGATCTCTTCAAGGCGGCTCTCAGTCGCCTGTCCGCTCGAGGAGCTTGATGACTTCCCCTTCGCCCGCCGCTACCAACGAGTTCTGGGACCGCGCCCACACCCGGCTGCGAGAGGCATCCACGCTGCTCGGGCGGGTCCGCCGGATCTCGACGGGTCGATTGGCAGTCGTCGTGGTAGCAATCGGTTTGGCGCTTGGAGCCGGTGACGCCGGGCTCTGGTCCCATTGGTGGATCCTCATCCCCTGCGGGTCGTTTGTCTGGCTGGCGTTCGTGCACGAGCGCCTCTGGAACCGGGCGCGCGGAGCGCACCACATTGCTCAGCTTTACCACCGGGCTGCGCTCCGGGTGGATCGCGATACCGAAGGAGAACCAGGCAGCCCCGACACGCCGGCGGCGGCCATCCTCAGGGGCGGGACTCCGGCTCATCGAAATACGGTCGACGAAGACCACCGCCTGGCGAATCGGCGCCACCGGATCTCGGAGCTTGCGAACAGCCACTTGCGAGACCATCTCGACCTCTTCGGATCCGGCGGGCTCTTCGAACGGCTCGCCGACTGGCGGACCGATGCCGGTGGAGAGACGCTGGCCGGATGGTTGCTCCAACCCGCTCCTCCGGCGGAGGTGGCGTCCCGTCAGATTGCCATCCGGGAGCTCGCATCCCGAATCGAGATCCAGGAAACCCTGGCGGCTTCCGGCTGCCTCGAACCGTGGCCGAACGCTCGATCTTCGGTGGTGCGGGATTGGTTGGGGTCGGACGGTGCAGCCCGCGACGGGACGGAGCCGCGTCCGACGGAAGAGGCTGAGGAAGGCTCCGAACCTGCCGGCCGCAAGACGGAAGTGCTGCTCGGAGGTTTTGGCAGTCCTCCTCAGCGTGGTCAACATGTTGGGGTTGTTCCGGTGGCTGTACGTGGGCGATGCGTCCTTGTTCCTCGGCGCGGTGGCCCTGTCCGCGGCGCTGGGTCTGTGGCTCCGGGTGCGGGTTCGGGAACTGGAAGCCGCCCTGAGCCTGATGGAATCGGAGATCGCGGGCATCCGGCAGATCGCCCTGTCCGTGACCTCGGAGGGTTTTGATTCCCCGCTGCTGGGGGCGCTTTCAGAGCGGCTCGCGCGCGCCCACGCGGCGCTCGGGAAGCTCGAACGACTGCAGCTTCGGCTGCGAGCCCGTCGCAATCTCCTCTTTGCGCCGGTAGCCGCGCTCCTGTTCTGGGGGACGCATCACACCTGGGCCATCGACCGTTGGCGTCGTCGGTACCAGCGAGAGGCGCGCGAGTGGATCCGAGCCGCAGGCGAGTTCGACGCCCTCCTCGCGCTCGCGCAGTACGCCATCGAGCGTCCCGGCCACGTGTTCCCCGAGTTCGACGCCCTGCCGGGGTTCGAAGCAAGAGGTCTCGGCCATCCGTTGATCCCGGAAGTCCGTCTCCAGCGCAATGACGTTCGCCTCGGACGCGGAGAAGCGGATGTGCTGATCGTCACCGGTTCCAACATGTCCGGCAAGAGCACTCTGCTGCGGAGCATCGGCGCCAATTTCGTCCTCGCGCGCATGGGTGCGCCGGTCACCGCCACGACCCTGCGGCTCGGGCCACTCGCACTCGGCGCCTCGATCGCCGTCCATGACTCACTCCAGGACGGGGTCTCCCGCTTCCTGGCCGAACTCCTGGCGTTGAAGGCGGTACTGGATACCGGCTCAGCCGAGGAACCGCTGCTCTTCCTGCTGGACGAAGTGCTGCAGGGGACGAACTCGGATGACCGGAGAGCGGCCGCGGCTGCCTTGCTGCGCGAACTCGGCAGGCGTTCCGCCGTCGGCGTGATGACCACCCACGATCTTTCGCTCACGGAGCTGGCCCACGAACTCCCGGGTCGGGTCCGTAACATGCATTTCACCGAACGGGTGGCGGACGGCGCCATGGAGTTCGACTATCAGCTTCGGGACGGCGTCCTCACGCGTGGCAACGCCCTCGATCTGATGCGCATGCTCAATTTGCCCGCGCCCGAGGGGGAAGTGGCCGAGTTCACTTCACTTCCTGCCCGGGGTCCGGGGAGAGAGCACTGAATGGGTGAGCCGAAGGCTCCGCCCGGCTACCCGGACGAAGAGTTCCACCAGAGCCTGCGGCCCCGGGACTTCGGGGAGTACGTGGGCCAGGGCGCGGTGCTCGAACAACTCGAGATCAGCGTCAGCGCCGCCCGGGCCCGGGGCGAGGCCCTCGATCACGTGCTCCTGCACGGGCCTCCGGGACTCGGCAAGACCTCGCTGGCCGCGGTGCTCGCCCGGGAACTCGATGTTCCCATGCACACTTCAGCAGGACCGCTCGTACCCCGTACCGGCGACATGGTCGCGCTGCTCAACTCGCTGGCGCGCAACGAGATCCTGTTCATTGACGAGATCCATCGTCTCGCTCCCGCCGTCGCCGAAGTCCTCTACCCGGCGATGGAGGACCACTACGTGGACATCATGGTGGGCGAGAAGCTGGGAGCTCACAGCCTCCGAATCGATTTGCCGCCCTTCACGCTGATTGGAGCTACTACCCGCGCCGACCTGCTGACCGGCCCCCTCCGGGATCGATTTCCGCTCGTCCACCAGCTCGAGTTCTATTCCATCGCGGAGGTGGAGACGGTTCTGGCGCGCTCCGCGCGGGTTCTGAGGGTACACCTGGACCCGGACGCCGGAGGAGAAATCGCATCCCGGGCGCGTGGAACGCCCCGGGTCGCCAACAACCTGCTGCGCCGGGTGCGGGATTACGCCGAAGTGCGCAGCGATGGGACGATTCGCCGGGATACGGCGCTCGCGCTGCTCGAGATTGCGCAGGTGGATGGGCAGGGGCTGGACCGCTTCGACCGCAAGATTCTGGAGAGCCTGCTCGACAACTTTTCCGGCGGGCCGGTGGGGGTGGCCAACCTCGCCGCCACCCTCGGCATGGACAACCGAACCCTGGAAGAGGTGCACGAGCCGTATCTCATCTACCGCGGCTTCCTGCGGCGCACGGGAAAGGGACGCATGATCACCGATCGGGGCGCACGGCATCTGGGGCGCGCGGCATCGGGAACGCTCTTTCCCGGTTCGCCGGTCCCCAAGCCGTGATCGATTCCGGCGGCGGGTGACACCCGGGTTTCCCGGAAGTGCGGACCTCCGACTTCGCATTCGACCTGCCCGCGGAACTGGTCGCCCAGGAACCGCCCGCCGCGCGAAGCGACGCCCGCCTGCTGCATCTGGGCGCCGGTGGCCGGGCGGCGCACCGGAGATTTCCGGACCTTCCGGCGCTGCTGCGGCCGGGTGACCTCCTGGTCCGGAACGTCACGCGGGTGATTCCCGCGCGCGTTCCGGCCAGGAAAGAGGTTGGCGGCGGGGGCGTCGAAGTGCTGATCCTTCCGGAGGAGGCAGCTCCGCGCGATCTTTTTCGCGCCCTGGTCTTTCGCGCCCTGACCCGGCCGGCTCTCCGCCCGGGCGTGCGGCTCGTTGCCGGCGAAGGGGAAACCGTGCGTCTCGAGGTCGGTGAGGACCTTGGGGGCGGGCAGCGCCGGATCCGGATCCTTTCGGGGGCGAAGGACCTGTTCGAGCTCGCCGGCAAGGTGGGCCGTACTCCGCTGCCGCCCTACATCCGCCGGGATCCACCGGGGTCGGACCGGCACCAAGGGACCACGCGGTTTCTATTTTTCCGCTGACCCTGAGGCACAGCCGGGTAGACTAGGTATAAGATTCGGGTCTCCTGCTTTGTTTTCTTTATTTTTTCTTCGTTTGTACAGCCCCGTTCCCCCGGTTTAGGTCGCACGATACAGACCGACACGACTTCAATTCAGATCTCCGACACAATGTTCGGGCGGCATTGACATGGAAGCGAGGTCGCCGGATTAGCCTGCGTGGAGGAATAATCGATGCTGGCCACCCCTGGGGGAATGGAACGTTCAGCTCCAACGGCTTGCGCGTCGGAGCGACTATTCGGACCCGTATGGCGGCCGCCCCTCCCCCTCCATTCCACGAACGAGTTCTCGGTTCCGCCCGGAGACCAGCCACGCGTCCTTTTCCCAACTGGCTGAGGGCCCTTCTCCGGCGCGTCCGTCGACCGTGGGCGACCACGACGGTGCGCCGGTGCTGGAGACGCCCCCGCGGTTGTTGATCAGCGCGGGGCCCGGCTGCCCCCCCGCCGCCCTGAGCACCCACTTACCTGCTCCACCTCCTACCCCGGGTTCACACGCTTCCAGAGTGGTCTTTCTTGTCACCGAGCTTATGTATACAAAACTCTAACACTCTCCCGAGAGTTTCGATTCTAATGCTGAGTCAGAAGCGTTCGGCTGGGGGGAACCAGACCTCCGCCCGGCCGGGGCAGAACGCCCACGATAGTGCTGGCACCCCCCTTCTCCCCCCCCGCCCCCCCATTTTCCCCCTTCTTTTTTTCGTGGTCGTCTGGCCGTAGCACCCATCCCCTCCTCTATGTTTCCCTTTCCCCCTTTTCCTTTTTTCCGGTACCGCTTCTAATCTACGCGATGCCATGTCGTGGAAGAGGGCGCAATGTAGTGGAGATGGGCGCGGCCGGGCACCCCCGCTAGCAATTTTGGCCGGCATCATGGCCCCGGGAACGTCGCAGGTCTCGAGAGCACCCGAGCGGCCCGCCTTGCGAAAGGCGGCGACCAGGACGACGGGCCTTTCCATGAACCGAATACGAGTCTTGGTAGTGGGGTATAGTGGACGACCTCAGAACTCCTCTCGGCATATCCCCCGGTCGACCCATCGGGGTGGTGATAGAATCCTCGTTCGGGGAAGACCGTTAGTACCGGACCCCGACGGGCGGTGGCGATCGGTCGCCGATCAGGAGGCCCAGACGCGATTCACCCTGCCGAGAAGATCGCCCGCTGGTCGAGGCGATCGGCGGCAGCCTCGCTGGGTGGGGCGACCCGTGTCCATGTGAAAAACGGGCCGGCGATGGGGAAGCGTGGCCAAATGTCAACGGGGAGTTCTTATGCGGTTCAGTACGATCCGGCCCGTGCACGCTCACATACGCGGATCTGGTCGGACGAGGAATAAATTGTCACTGAGAATGAGAGGGGAAGAGGCTGTGCGGTCGGCGGCGCCCCGTCAGCCGGGACGTATGAGGCTTAGGGTATGTCGGACCAAGGTCGCATTAGTGGGCGGAGGTGGAGCGATTGATTCCGCACGGTTCCCCTAGTGCCGGGCATCACTGGGTCTCGTGGACGATGGCGGGCGGCCCCTCCCGACGTGTCCGCGCAGGGGACGGTTGCGACGAGCGGACGCCGCTTCCGTAGGGCCATCGGGGTGACCGCCAAGGTTTTCGAGGACAATTGATTTAACGCGATTGGTCGGCGGAAAGGCGCGCGGCCGGTGGCAGAAGTGAAGACGTCAACCGGGATCCCGGGAAGAGCCCCACCGTGTTCCCCGACTGTGGCCGAACGGCCTTCGGTTCTTGGAGGTCTTGGTACTGGTCTTTCATAACAAAGACCCCGTAAACCGCCGGAAGTCTGTGGAAGAACCCTTTCGATGGCCGACTTCGCGGTCGGCTCCATGCGGCGCTTGGTGCGGGTGCGCACTACGATTCCAACGTCATTACGTCGGGGACGGCGCCGAATGCCCGAGGCGTTGCAACGTATACGGTCGTGCAACGGCGGTCTAACCGCAGCACCACGGCGGACAGGAAGGTCCTGGGTCCCATGCGGGGGCTTGAAGGCCGCCGGACTCATAGGCCGGCTAGTGCGTGGACCAAGGACGATCCGGCTCGGCCTCGTGGGATGTTTCGGTACAGCATCTTCGGCCAGTCGATCCGAGCCGGCGATCTATCGCATACGCGGATGGAAGGGAAGCAACTGGTAGATGTTGCTCCAGTTCCAGAATGCGGCACGGGAGCGGTGGAGCTTCGCGATGAAACCGGCGAATCGCGGGAGTGAGTTGTTCGCCGCCCTGTAGCAGGCAAGAGCGGAAGCCGTGGTGAAAACATAGGA